TGCCACTTAAAATTAAAGTAAATTTTCTTCTGTCCCTATTTCACTGGTGGAATAAACCAAACCAGGTTTGTGCTTGATGTAATGTCCACATATTCATTTAAAAGAAGGTTAATAATGTCTTTATGTTAAAACCTTGGGAATGTCTTCTTTTAAATTATGTACAAATTAAGGGCATATCTCAGCCCAAAAGCTTCTTAGCTGCATCATCCAATAGCTTGCTATGTGTGTTAGCCTTTTAACTTTGGTAACTAGTGCTACATATGAGGATGAACAAAGCAACCGTATTATAATTACTTATGTAAGTAATTCCATGGCTGTTTGTACTTCGTTTCAGTGGCATGCGTAACCTACCACATAGAGTCAAATTACCAGATAGGATTCACAACCGATTATTTTGAGGTTACTCTGAGGTGATGCAAGAATAGCTCTCAACAAGATACAGTCCTGTGTACTAAAAAGTGACACAATTCCTTAAGTTTCCAATGTGTACTTCATCTAAGGTATACAGTAGAAGAAAATCAGCAGATCAGCCATGACAACATATTCAATCCCAACATTGCCTTTGGCAATGGGATACATCTGTATTCCTTGAGCACTTAGAGATTTGGGGGTTTCTCTGCCTTCCTCACAGATTTGGTTGGCTCAGTCAAACTGGGTATCATCTGAGAATTTCACTAGTTTTCAGTGAGATTTAAGTCGGAGCTTTGGCATGAGTCTCAGCAGGGCTTTCATGCTCCTGGTCTGAAGCTATTCCAGTGTTGATATGTCCTCTGTGTTTGCGGTTACAGTGCTGTTAGAGTCGTGCATCGATCTAAAGTCTTTGGCAGTGCTGATTCTCACAAGCCTCCCCCATACAATTCTGCTGCCATCGACATGCTTCACAGGGAAAATTAGTTAGATGATGATGAGCTGTGCTCGGCTTTCGGCAAACTCTGCAACGATTTTGTCTCTTGCTCAATGAAATGCCTTTTAACTAATTCCAGGATTTTACATGCCTTTTTCAGGGGTTGCTTCTTTCTTTTAACATATAAAAGGTTTAGTTAATCTCTTTTTTTCCCATATCTAAATGATTAGGACAGCTGATGTCCCAACAGTCAAAATGCTGTATACACTTCCCTAGATTCCCACCTACTTGACAACAAACAAATTATGTTTGATAAAGGTTCACGTAATTCAACTCAGGCTGTTACAATTCCATTTTAGTCTACTTGTAAAAACAAAACAAAAAATATAAAAATATTTTAAATACTTTAATGTTCAGTTTATGTATCTAAATTAGGGATATTTATGTAGCCAATTATTGTGCATACTAAACCTATAGTAAGTGAGCACTAATTTCCAGAGAAGAGTGTTTACTGCATTGACGCAATTGTTTTATTTTGTACTGTGTTTTGTGATCTGTTGTGCAAATTTACTATCGCAGGCAAAATCTGACAATGTTAAACAAACTGAAGGTCATATTCATCCATCCATCCATCGTCAACCGCTTATCCTGCATACAGGGTCGCGGGGGGATGGAGCCAATCCCAGCTGACATTGGGCGAAAGGCGGGGTACACCCTGGACAGGTCGCCAATCCATCGCAGGGCACTGAAGGTCATATTAAGGTCTAACAATGTTAATTGCTTTAACACTCACATAACTTGTAACATAATCTTATACATGTTTATTTTATTTTTTTAACATTCAGGTTTGATTAGTTTTGTGACCAATGACGACAATGAATGCCTTCTCAAGCCTATAATCTCTCTTTGAAGAATTTGCCATCTCATATTCCCGAAGAAAAAAAAAATCAAAAAACACCACATATCACATTTTGCAATGTCATCTAAATAAGGTAAAAAGATAACCTGCACCAGTGTCTAAATGTCAAAACATATACGTGTAACAAATTTGGGCTCATAAAACCAAAACAGTTAGAGAAAGAGGAAAAAAAGGGGTGTCCCAGTGCCCTAGTGGTTAAGACATATACCAGATAACCACAACATCCCAGGCTGGATTCTGCCCGGTAACCCGTGTTGCACGCTTTCTCTCTGTTCATGTTTTCTGTCTGTATCTACAATGTTGACAATGATAAAAGAGAGAACATGAGTACTAAATTAGAACATCCAGTATTAACACTGTGACTACATAGGCAATGTTAGAATAACAGTACACAGGAGGCTATGAAGATGCATTCATCAGCAAGGACCATGCCACAACAATGTCATTTAAAGGTTTAATGAAGATTCTGGGAAAGGTGAGGGTGGTAGAAGGATGTCGTCTGATAGGCTGGTCTGGGAGGATGTATGGAAGACCGGGCAGAGGAAACTCCCTTTACGTGTTCCGTGTCAGAACATACCCCAGACGGTACGATGAGATTGAATAGGAAGAGATGGGGGGATGAGGGAAGAGAGGATGAGTGGATGTGTGTAGGGATGAATGGAGGGAGGGATGAGCAATCTGAGACAGATGGGGCAGGCTGAGTAGAACATGTATAGATAGGCTTGACAGGTGATTAGAGGTGTGGTTGAGGCGTGGCCCCGCTCCCAAACCTAAGTTAACAAATTAACTTTATTTCATTTTGTCACTAAATAGATAAAACAACCAACAGATAATAATCAACAATTGTAATAATCATGTAATCGTTAGCAGTCATTAGTCACTCCACAAGGCTGAGGGTTTTGCAGTCTTTTTTTCTAGTTGTTTTAAGCGTTTTGCACGCTGCTAGTGCAACCTGGGCGTCTCACATTTTAGATAGCTTGGTCAAAAAAAAAAAAGCCTTCCTTGCTGGCCAGAAATGCCTAACATTCGCCTTTTCCAATTTTCTCTAATGTAACCATTAACTGTTTCATATCCTTCAAAACTTCACAGATAAGACAAGCAGGTTGAAGAGATCGCGTTGGTCTCTGGGAAATTGCTATCTTCTGAAATTTGATAAACTTAACATTGTCTCATCGATATTGATAGCAGTCATTATTTGCAGCCCTAGCAGAGTGATGTAGTTTTATTATTCAATGAGGAAGAAAGCCAACCCATGTAGATCAAACACCACTTAACTTCCTCCTCTGGTCGTCTGCATTAGCATTAATTTGGTTACATATTCCATACAGGTATTATAACAGCAGAATGTGTATTTTGACTTCATTCATTGCCATTTTTCCTTCTTTGTTTTTTCTCCCTCTGCAGTAAAAACAAGGACAAATTCCCTCCTCTTCACTGGCCTTGTATAACCAAGACATCTGCTCTCCACTGACAACATTTTATTAGTGTGTTGGTTAGTCACACAACATACAGAATGTGGTAATAAAACAATGCTTGGACTATTGACCTTGTCAAAACATGCGAATGCTACATACGATAGTAGATATTTGTGTAATGCTCATTCATGAGGATATGGCACCAGCACTGACCTTCTCTTTCCCCCATTAGCTTTCAGATTGTATCAAAACTTGGCACAAATAGCATCTCAGGGACAGAGAAGTTGGCTGGGGGTGGCTGCCTCCTAGCTATGATCGATGTCACAAGAGGAAACCGTACATCTAAATGGCCATCAGTTTTGAAGTTTTTGCTAGGCCTTACCTCCCCTCCCTGTGACACCACCCATACGGGACACAAGTCTACACAGCCTCAGGAGAGGGAGAAGGAGGCGCCCATCAGCTCACAGCTGATCCTCACAGTGCTGCTGCCTTCACAGACAATGTCTAATGATTGTCTATTCTTGGATTAGCAGCGGGTATTGTGATAGGCTACAAAGACATCCCAATGTGTTAATGAGCGAGAAAAACCCAACAATAAAAGCAACAGCCTCCACCAGTGGGATGATACCAAGATACCCTTAGCTAGTATCAACAGAGGGGAGTGAGAGTTGAGCTGAGGGAAAGATAACTTGAAGGGCTTTCTCTATGACTGCAGGGAACATAAAAAAAGTCATCTTAGTTCTTTCAAGGCTGAAAATCTCTTAAATCATCTAAACTCTGCTGTCTGCTGCTGCTACGGATGATTATAAAAGATTTGTTGACTACACTCAGAAGTTTATCTTAAAATTAAAAACTGGTTCTTCCCACAGCTTAACTATTTATTCTTTTAAAATTTTAGTACCTTAAAGCATATTTTGTGTCAAAAACAGTCCTGCTACAGCAGAAAATTATTCGCCTTAACACGTGCTGTTCTCCACATACAACAACAAAACTGAGTTTGCTGAAACCCAGGGACACCACACTGTGCAAGTACATTCAGATTCAAAACAAGTCCATTTTTCTAATCATGTCAGAGAACACATTGCATGCCACAGCCTATGAGTTTTTGTAACTTTAATACAATGAAAAAATGGCACGTTTCTTTGATTATTGCTTGAAGTTCTCCTGGTGAAGGAAAAAAAGAGGATGGTTTCAGACAGCCAACTTAACCCAACAAAATGCAAAATTTAGTAATGCATTTGTTTAGAAAGTCTTTTTTGATAGACAATAAACAGATAATGTAAAGTTGGACTAAATAATCTCACGCTCTCATTCATGCAACATAACTCAGGGATTACAGGTTGTGAAAGGAAATTCAAAACAATTCTTCAAGTGCTTTATTTTATGGTCATCGGTTTGATTCCACTCGTGGATCTCCCACACTGGAACAAATTTTCAAACTTTTACACACAGAATACTGAATCAATGGCTACAAAGTCAGCTTGAGATGGCAGTAAAACAGAAAAAAGAAAAAAATCAGAAATACATAGAGAAATTATGTATTGGGACATCTGCAAATGGCACATGGCTCTCTTGTATGAAAGCATTTCAAGCAGCATTTTGGACAGTTAATTACGTTAGTAGAAAGTTTCCAATTTGCACTTATGTCAAATCATAACTTTCACTAAGCATGGAAGTGAATCAGAAAAACATCAGGGCTTTATTTGGGAAATCAAATGCATCTCTGTTGCCAGGGATGAAACTGACATACCTTCAAACAAGAGTACTTTTCAAAAACAGTCCTGCTACAGGAGAAAATAAATACCTTGATCCTAAACCCAAATAACATTTGAGCCGTTATTGTATTGGACTTTATTTTTGTGCAGCAACATCCTGAATATGAATAATACAATGTCAACATTTTAATGTATGTTTCTACTTCTGTATTAGAAAATTCCTCCAGGATAAGAAACAGCTTTTGCTATTTATTCTGTAAATCATCATGTCAGAATACTTTTTGAATATAGTGGAAAAAGAGTTTAAGCACTTTGGTGTCAATATGCACTTCAGATTCATTTACTGCTGTTACACTGTAACAAAGGATGGACGTCTGAAGTTACAAACAGACCTCAGTTTTTTAATGTGTAGATACATAAAAGACTTCTCATTATTGACTTGACCAGAATGTTAAAGTAAAGGTGAGACGCTGAGATTTGGTGCGTTCAGCATTTACACTTAACACAAATACCAAAATAAATGCGGTTTCAACAACAACCAGTTCAGACCTATCTTATCCCAGAAATCAAGATAGATAAACACCAATACTCAGCATTCGTCACAGTTCTGGAAAAGCAGAGGATCGTGTTGCCTAGCTGGAGGAGATGGAGGCTACAGGTGCTGTGTTAACATTTACCATCTCTTTCTGCATCCTCTACTTATGAGTCAACCCATCTGCTCCCCTGTGATCTGCTCCAACTGCCTCTGATACACAGCTGAAACCTTGTTCTCTGAAAAGAAAAAATATGTTTGTAGGGAATGAAATTTCCATAGATGAAAGATAAAAGTACAAGAGGAAAATTGTGCTGTAAGTCTTTGCAAAACACATGACTTGCAAGCAATTTTGACCACAACTGTCTCACGCAGTTGCACTAGCGTTTGTCAAACACTACTGTGTGAGTTGGCTGATGCTAAAACTCTGGAGAGAAAACTATGAAAACAACATTAAAGGATAATATTATGGTCTTATTTACACAGCTTGAGCTATCATTTTATCACCAGTTATGATAACTCAAAGTAACTGCTGAGATCTGGGAACATGAAAACAACACTAAGTCAGATGGGGCAAAATGATTACAGTTTGTATAAAAGCCATCAGTTTAGCCAGATTATCTGAACCACATTATTTGAAGGCAAAACCAAGAGTGAGTTACCTTATTTTAATTTATCTTTCAAATAAGTTTGGATGACCTGGAGATTTGTTTAAAATCTGCCTGACTGTTTTTCATCCCCTGTAATGTACTCACAGATTTCAGCAATTCGCTTGGTCAGTGCAATGTTATTTCCAATGATAGGAACAATGTTGTAAAAAATCAGAACTATCCTTCAAAGGTGGGGTCAGCGATTTTAATCCAATACATGTCTTTTTGTCAAATTTGGCAAATATTTCCTCACAGTCCACTACCTGTCTGTTCTGTGAGTGCGCTAAAAAAAATTTTTTTTTGTTTGTGCTCAGCCCTGGCTCTGTAAATAGGAAACAAAGTGGCCCGACCCCTGCCACACAACTCTACTCAAGCTGTTTTAGCCATGATTTGTGTGTCAGGTAATGTTAAATGAGTTGCCCACAGACATCCAGCTTACTTTCTCGTTTGCCAAGATATACTATTATTGTGATGTTGGCTATAATAGCTGCCTGGAGCTGGTGTGCTGGCTCTGGGACCGTTTCGTCCTCTCTGCATGTAAGCTTCACAGCAGCAACTGGAGCGACAGTTTTTCTAACCCAAATACCCAGCTAATGCTAGTTACATTACATTCTGTGTCGTTGTCCACTCTATATCATGGTATTTGTCATGTTGTTTTTTTCTCCAGAAACATTTACTCCACTTTTAATTATTAAAAAGGAACCAAATATCCGTAAACCTCCACCAAACTATTTGCCCAGACTTGAGTCCTACTCACTTAAGAAGTTGTTCCAATTCTCGCTTTATCTTCGTCACTACAGGCGGACCCTGGTAGGTCAAAGCTGTGTAAAGCTGGACCAGTGATGCACCAGCACGGATCTTATCCATAGCATCCTGCCCGCTGGCCACACCACCGATTCCAACAATTGTTACTTTACCTGCAAAAACATTACTAAGTATTAGGTATATTTTATATGCACTTTCTTGAAACTCAAGTTATTGGAAAAGGGCCAAAAATACTGGTGAGTAAATAACTACCTTTGGTGAGGTTGTACATCTCTGACAGTGCTAGTAGAGAGGTCTTTGAGAGGTTGGCCACTTAACCCACCAACCTCAGACTTATGCGCATCCTGAAGCGTGTCTGGCCTGGACACTGTGGTGTTAGACACCATCAAACCGTCCACTCCTAGCTGCAAACACAGAAACATAGACCAAGAAGAGGACAGGGATGAGTGACATATTTGCCTGCATTAACAAGAGCAAAACTCATGTAAGTAGGCAATTGTGAGTAAGGGCCATCTGACTTTCATAGCAGTATGGCAAAAACAGAGAGACAGAATGTAAAACCTGTAACAGTTTTCCCCCTGGTATTTTTCTTGTTAGATTAACATTCTGAAATGCGAGAATTACAAATCTATCTAAATTAAATCTGACCGTGCATTTCTATTTACCATATATGCAAAATACAGCTGAAATTAAACATATCAATATTATAGAGAATTAAAAAAAATCTCATGGAATAAAAATTTAATTTAGAATAATAAAATCTAAATGAAATGAAGAAAGGAAAGGACTGCAATGAATAACTTCCAACCTCAGTGACAACATCAGCAATATCTTGTTTGTCCTGGGCAGTGAGGTCAGGAGCAATCTTCACTAGGACTGGAAGTTTGGATTCTGCCCGCAGGGCATCGCGCTCCTTCAGCACCTGAGCAGATTGTATGAGCATGTGAGTATATCAGGTGAGGGGGCAGAGGGTGCTACAACAACGGGAAACTAAGACAGAAATACAGTGTACTGTGCTGTAAGATCTAAAGCCTTCAGACTGGGAAGGATTAAAAATTCAGTCTTTAATTGGATGGATGATGAGCTCAACAGCAAAAACACAGAATAATTATTTTGTTTAATGAGCAATTTAACACCAAGTTTAAGCTTGAACACATCCCCTTTTCAAATTCAAAGGATTCTTTCAAACTCTGACATGTACCTCGGGGTGGGGTTTGATAGGATTTCACAAATCTGAATCAAGTTCTGGACTTGCTTATCAATTCTACGGAGAATTTACTGTGCTAAAAGCGTGTAGGGCTTTCATCACATATTTTCTCACTGCTCTCTGACATTCATTAACCCCGTCCTGACTCATTTTCTCTTTGCTGCGAGGGAAAACAGGATTTGCTCCTTACTGGAGGTGGGCTGTGCTACAGCTGCAGAAGCCATAGAAGCTAAAGTAAAAACACAGTGGAAATAATATTAATTCATCTTTATCAATAAGTAAATATCAACTAAATAAATAAATTTTTCTGCACGCACAATGCAATCATAATGGCATTGGCAGATCCATTTAACAAAAAAGAAATCATGTTCAAAGCAAAACATTTCCTGAATTTGAGTCTGCCAGCCAGCTGGGCCCACCCAGGACTTCTTACTTCTAATTTGGTTACATAATTTTGTCAAGCTTGTAATGTTCTTTAAGATGCTATCGCTGGTAATTTTCTCTGTAAAGTCATTTAAGGCCTTTTATAATTAGGATCTACTGTATATGATGACTTTTGTTCATTTGTAATTTTAAAAAAGTTTAATTATTTGTGAGGGAAAAGGCCGAGCAATAAGGCCAGAAGATTTTTTTATTGTGTTAAGATTTTTTCAATCTATTGATATTATGAACATTCAAACAGTCCTACCGTGTGCAGGAGCTGGCGGAGCTCAGCCTTCCCCTGTAGATCCCGGAGACCTGGCGTATTTGGACTGCTGACATTGACCACCAGGTAGTCAGCCAGTGGGCCCAGCCCTCTCACCCCCTCCAAGTAATCTGCCCCCGCGTCCTGGGATAGCTTGTTCTTCCCCAGGTTGATGCCCAGGGGAAGGCCAGCTATAAACACAGACACACGCACGTATGCAAACAAACACACACACACATACAGGTTAGTTCGGACAACCATAAACACAGGCTGTGTCATGCACATGACTCAACTGGGGCAGAGGCTGCTCATGCACTAAATGGGCTGTAAGCAGGTATGATCGGATGAAAAATAAGAGACAAGGACAGGTCAAGATCATTAAACAGAACAGAATAGTGTATTTAACCATATATGCATTTAGTAGTTGGCTTCCTTATTGGAATCTAAGTAGATTAGTAAATAATAAATGCACACCACAAAAAATTTAGACAGATTTATCTCACACTAATTATAGTGATTAAACTGAAAGCAACATTTTCTTTGAAAATAAAAAATAAAAAACAGGGTGATGAGAACTCATCATATAAGGTGAGCCTGCTAACCCTTATGTTGCTGTGCGCCTCTGGCCTTCAGCCTTTCTTGTGCTTCTGCCAAACCACAGCTGTTGAATCCATATCTGGTGAGAAGTGCGAGCACACACACACAAAAGGAACATTATATATATATATATATAAAAAATAATAATAATGTCATGACATTATAATGGGACATACATATAAACTAATTAAGCAGATGAAGCACTGTCTCAAAAGTGTATTGTGGAAATACTGTACTGCTGTATTAATTACAGTATATCTTAACTTGAATTCACAGGTAAAGTGTCTGTTGCAATAACTCAAACACAAATTTCCATAAATTACCCATTTCACTGTCTAAAATTTCAAAGTAAACCCATGAACTCTGATTCAGAGCTTAATTAACGTGAACCCTATAATAGCAAACCTTTAGGAAGCATAATCTTTTTGAATATATGGAGCGATGTGAAAAGGAACATTATACAGTAACACAGACTGTCTCCTGCTCTTTATTTCTGTCTTTGTGAGATGTAACATAAAAGCAGGGTGTTAAGCTGCGGAACATGGTCATTCAAAAGATGAGGGGAAAAAAGCCATGAATCGCTTCTGAATTCAGCATCTACATGATCCACCAAGCAACAGTTTCATGCAAATGTTCGCTTTTATGATGCTCAGGCTTTTATGATGCATTTACCCAAAACATTGGCGACTTAAATGCAACATACGATGGCAAAGAAGAAATTGGGCATGTGTTGAAATTAAACTTAAGTGGTACGATTATGTGAGATTAGATGTTGCAACATTTTATTATAACATTATTCATAAATGATTAAAACTAATTAATTCAATATGGAGGGGAAATCATTTTCTTATATGTTGCTTACAAGATGCTATTTGTGGTTTTACTAATAGAGAATACACTCAGTTACCAATTTATTAAAATACATATACAACAACCCTGCAAACATCTTCATGAAGGTGGGATTTAATGTAGTGTTTTTGTATTAATTAATTAGGCTTTTTTGTTTTAGTCGTGGGCCCCAGCTGACTACAAGGGCACACAAGCACTAAATGCACTAAATCAAAATCTTACCTGTTAATAATTGCATGATCCGCAATGAGTCGAAACACACGTGGTTTGGGGTTCCCCTCCTGAGGCTTGGGAGTGATAGTGCCCACTTCAACAAAGCCGAAACCCACCTTGTACAACCCATCTATGGCCTCTCCATGCTTGTCAAAGCCTGCCGCAATTCCAATAGGGTTTCTGAACTTTAATCCCAGGACATTCACTTCCTGTAGAAACATAAAAACAAGTCTTACAGTGACTCAGATCATTCTGATGTTAACAGGAAATGTCATAGGAGCAGAAAGTAAAGTGACATGTGTACCAATGATGCAGGGTCCTTGTAGCGGTTCAAAGGAACCAGACCCAGACCTATCATCTTCACTGCCAACACATGTGCCGTCTCTGCCCCCACAATCTTCTGCAGAAGGGGCATCAGCTGATTGGCATAGAAACGCTCATCTCCAACCGCAGTGAGGTAGGAGACAAACAGAAGGCTACCTGAGCTGATGACCTTCAGTGCGTCCTTAAGCTGCTTCTGTTGACAGGAGCGTGAAAATGATACATAAAACTGTTAAAAGGGACTCAGACATTTGTTACTGTGAACAGCCCTAATAGTTCAATAAAAGAATTCATAATTGCGTCGATCCAATTCCCACATTTAAGTATGAAAAGAGTTTGTATACAGTGTTTTGCTAAATGATCAGGTTAATATCTAAAGAGGATGTGGGGTAGGGTACGGGGGGAAGAAACCGCATGGCCATCCCACATGACATCAAGCATGCTAAAACACCAGAAAGATTTCAATGGGACACCGATGGAACTGAGCCATTTTTAATGAAATTAATGAAAGATATCTGCTGCGGAAAAGCTCTATTGGAGGGACATCGTTGGTGTCTGTTGTTTTTCTAGTCAATGAGCATTAACTAATTTTTCTGGCCACCTTGGGGCAGCGGAAACAAGACATATCATCACAAGTTCATATAGCGAACTTGTTACCCAACAGTGGCATAATTACCCATCCAGCAGTTACAGATCAACATTGTCATTTATATGGAGTCATGCTTCTGGTCACCAGATGTCTGTAAGTCCAATAATCTCTTTAAGCTCTGTTTTCGGTCTCTACTAACTCCTGGGAGAAATATCTGGCTCTAATATTGATTATAGCCACTTTGAAGACTATCTGACGCTGGTTATGTTACTTGACAAATTAACTAGAGGCAGAAGATGCTGTCAGACTCACAAGCAGCATGCTACATTCATCATTCAACCAATACAGGTGTATTGATCAGGTTATAATTACACCAATTATAAAAATAAAAGTGATTAAAAGACCTTTCTGGCTTTACTACAGTATGGTAGATTTGTTGCACCTGTCACTTGGTATTAAAAGGGACAAGTTACAACTTTACAGTTATTGTAAAGAGTGCATGAAGTTCGCTTATCTCCGCACAGCGCCACACAACTTAACTGACTTAAGGGCAGAATCAACTTAAAAGACAACATCAGACGTATTCACCGCCTTAGGAAGTTGGTATGACAAATGTCTTAGTCTCTGTCCATCTACTATTAGGTGGACAGAAATTTACTTTCCTATTATCTCTGTTTTGGTCTTGAGGATACTACCTGGCTCTTCACAAGATGGTCCCAAACTTTGTCTGTGCCGTGGTACTGGTTGTACAGTGGGTTTATATAAACTTTATGCTGTGGCAGGGTTGCGGCTTAGAAAACAAAAACAATTTTCCAAAAGAAATCCACGATCTTCAACAATTTGCACACAATCAGCCAGGTTATAGATAGCTGATGTGATTCATACAAAGACTAAGTACGATGTAAAATCAGTGTTTGTTGTTAAGATTTAAGGCAGTCGCATCTGAGTTCATTTTAGGCTTAACCATGTGGATGCCATAAAACAAATCAGATATTAAGGAAAAGCCAGACAAGGAGCAACAGTATAAAACCTGCTAGCAGTGGTGGAAGTAGTACTCCAAACCTTTACTTAAGTTCAAGTAACAATGCCACAGTGTAAAAATACTCGGGTACAAATAAAAGTAAATGTAAAAAGTACTCACAATGCAAAATGGCCCCTTTTTAAGTGCCAATTATGGAGCCTTAAAGGTCCAGAGAGATGTTTTTTTTTTTTTCTTATGCACGTTGTATTAAAATCTGTACACACAAATTATTACTTTGTGCAGCAAGATAAAAAATATATGTGTGACTTAAGGGGATCTCATGTTTATCTTTTTTACTCTTATAAGTACATGATGACCTCAGGGAAAACCCAGCATAGCGATCAGACACATACTGTAAGTAAAAAAAACCTGTGAGGGTCTGTGGTCATATTTAATAGGAAATAATAACTGATCCCTCCTCACCTTATCATCCCATTGTCATCAATAACCAAACAGTTAAAAATGGCTGAGCAACACACTTGTGACATGCAAAAACACAAAGAAAAACAAATTCATCCGCAAGCTTATAGGACTCTATCCTATCTCCATCTCCTTCTACAGAGTATTATTCAACCCATCCTATTGTTCTGCTTCTTTAACATGTTATCTGTTACTCATCGGGCCAAACTCAAAGTACAAGGATTTATTTACATCATTTTACAACAAAGGGTTGTATAACAAGATAAAGTTGTAGCTGTCTTTATGCTACTCACAAAAACATAATATACAAAAATGATATACAGTAGATGGGTGACTATAATATGTTTACATGGTGCAGTACTGAAGATGAACTGAGGAGTCTCACAGCCTGAGGGAAGAAGCTGCTCTGAAGTCTGGTGGTATGACAGCGGATACTTCTGTATCTCTGGCCAGACGGCAGCAGGGTGAACAGATATTGCTGATGCTCGGTAGATGAGTACCAATGATCTCTGAGTGGTTTTTAATAGCCCATGGCAAAGTCCTCCTGCACATCCCAAGGCAGTTTGTGACAACAAACAACACAGCCGCCAGGATAATTGGTTTCCCCACATCCAACCTCACAGAACTGAACGATAAGGCTGCACTGCACGCCTTGCAACCTCAGTAATACAGGACATCACACACCCACTCAATCACCATCTTACTCTAGTGGAGGAACAGAGCACTGAGCTCCAGAAGGGCTCCCTTTGGGAAAAGTCTAATCCCCACAGCCATAGCCGCCTTAAATAATTGGCCTCACTGAACTGGCCTGTGTGTACTGTTGTCTTTGTATCTTGTTACTGTGTGCTGTCTTATGTGTACAGTGCTGTGAAATTTGAAATGGAGAGAAGTCTAATAACTTGATGGTAAGTTTTCTATGTAAAAATCAAAGTAGCTAACGTTAGTTACTGTAGCAGTTAAAGAAAAGGGAGTAAAGTAAAAAGTACATTAACAGTACATGCACATTTCCCCATGAAATATAGTGCAGTAGGTATAAAATCGCATAAATTAGATTTACTTAAGTAGAGTACAAAAACCTCAGAATTGTAACGTAACAGTAATTAAGTAAATTTACTTGGTTACTTTCCACCACTGCCTGCTATTAGCTGAATGAAAACAGTTTATGGAAACTGATTTTCTCTCAGTAACAAATCAGCTGTCGTCCTGATATCTGATTAGAGGTAACCTCCTTTGGAGGGGACTATAACGTTAGTCTGTGTGTTATAGCTGAAAACTAAGCATCCCAAAAACATGAACCTTAACATTTAGGCAATTTTCTTCCAATAACCACCCTAGTTTAATCAAAGGGAAAGCAAATAATAGCAAAGACACCACCACTACATGTGTTTCTGTGGTGATATGCAAGGACGCTGCAACGCTAACCTGGAGTGTTTCCTGCTCTAACGCTACTTTTAGGCGGATCACCCGAGCTAGCAATCAGGAACACAACATAAAGTTTCGTGGCGACGTTTCGATTTAATTGATTCTGCCAAAAACAAAAAACATTCGTCTCTTAATTTACCTTCACATGTCCCGCCATGGACGCGGTTCTGTCATTGCGTTAAGGGCACTGAATGCATTTCCTCACGTTACACAAACCACACGTGGACACAGCTTCCTCCACATCCTCTCGCGATATCTCTACCACGGGGAGGTGGAGGAGATCCAGGGATGTTTACCATCAAATTAAATTAAATTAAGGCACTTCTCAAGAGCGTGGACATTCAGGATGATTTGACTTAAGAAAAAGATACTTATTTTTAAGAATGTATTATTATAATGCATGCATGATAATAATGTAGGCAACGTTTTACATGTTAAAAGCAAAGTGAAAGTTGAAACCTGTCCTTGTTCAGCAGCAGATGGAAGGATCAGCTTGTGTGACCTTCACTGATGCCAAGTGACTCCTTGACTTTGCATCTTGTTTGAGTGTCTGCAGTGATTTTCCTAATTTATTGAGAACATATGCAGAGTTTTTCTGGGGAAAGCTCCCGAATTTCCATGTGAGTGACAGAAGTTATCTTGCTCAGTTGCTGTTCTTGCCGCAGTTTCTGCAGCACTATGTGCTTTAGCTCTGTGCATTATAGTAACTATGGGCATGTTACTCCAAATTGCTGTCTTTTTTTGGATTTCAGTTGGATTTCTATCTTTCCCGGAAAAGTCTGAGGCCTGTTCAGGCAACAACTCCCCTGCGTTGTGTGAATTTGTTTTCAAAAATGTCTGTTATGAGTTTGTTGGGGGATCCAAAACCTGGTCCCAAGCTGAGAGCAGCTGTGAAAAGCAAGGAGGGGAACTCCTGAAGGCGATGACCATCCCAATCAAAATCTTCCTGAAGAACATCAACGGAGAGAGAAACACCAGCAACTTCACCTGGTGGCTGGGAAAGGGGGTCCAAGGGCTGTACCAGGGACCCGCCATAAGTGAGTAAAATGCGCACACACAGCATTTATTTTGTTTATGTATTTTTATTTTTGTAATTTATTGTGCTTTTGGCTTGATCCTTAAAATCAGGCAGTGTCTATTTAAGACCCTCCGTCAAAGGTTTACATGCAGAGCGGCAAGGCTTTGTGACCAAAGGATATTCAACATTTTAAAGAGAAAAGGGCACACATTAGAAATTATTTCACAGTACAACAAAATTCAACTCACTTTGCATGCATTGACTAAGGCTGGGTTTCAACTGAAATCTTTTATTGAAGGTACCAACACAATCTAAATATCAACTCTGTGTGTGTGTGTGAGTGTGTGTGTGTATGGTATCAAGTCAAATCAGAAGATATTTTCTCAAACAACAATTAAACAATAAACAATACAAAGTCAGTACTTGACATATTTAGAAATTAGTAAAATAAATTAGATGTATTTACCATAACGTACTAATTGCGGCATGAAATTACTGTACAAAATATTTAGATCATAGGCAACCTCCTTCAATAAAAGTTTCATCTGATTCTGTTCAAAGCTGTTGAGATTGGCTTGAGTTGAGGCACTTTTGACTGAAAGATATTGTTTACCCCCTCCTTGACATTTTGTGAGTTGTCAAGTTTTTGTTTTTATGTCACTGAAGCACTCACACCTTTAAAGCTGTCTGTATAAGTTTTCACTTGTTGTGTGTTTGTTCATTTCTGGAGCCATCAACCGAAAATTAATGGACAACAATGTTGATAATTGATACATTTGGTCAATATTAAAAATAACTATATTTTGGTTTTGGATTGTTAATTAGACAAAACAAGCAATATGAATACTTCACACTGGGCTCTGTGAACTTGATGTATTTGACACTTTAATTAGTCTGAAAAATATCGGACAGATTAATTAATAGTGGCAGCCCTAATGGTTTTTGTCTTCACTGGCTTTTCCTAATGGTGTGTCTGTGTGTGTTCTTTCTAAAGCAGAAAATGTTGACATCTCAAAGGACAACTGCACATACATGAAGCTGAATCCTCTTCATCTCATCACATCTGACTGCAACCAGAGACGAGGCTTCCTCTGCACCCACAGTATGCAACAACAGCTTCCTAATTACTGCTTAAACTCCATTCATTCTTCCTTTAAGTGTTTTTCCTTTCTGTCTTGCTGATTTCTTTTTTTAAATGAATATGCATTTTATTTGCAACATGTCGTTGTTAAAAGTGTCCTTCTTGTTTTTAAAGATTTGCGGTCATCATCAAACACAAAGGTAAGAGTCACATTTCAGAGTCAGTAAGAAGCCATGTAAACACCCAGACTGAATTTGTTAGTTTTGTTCATGTTTTCTTTGCAGAAGACAATGGCATCCAGTCATGCAGCCAGATCCCGTAAGTTAGATTGAAACATTATGTGTCGCATTATTTCAATCAACCAAGAAAGTCATTCAACTGAATTTGTGTATTTGCCTCTCTTTCTTTCTCTTCCTCTCAAACACACACACACACACACACACACACACACACACACACACACACACACACACACACACACACACACACACACACACACAAACTCTGATTTCAGGGCTCAAAAGGGATTCAACTGACATGGGCTCGTCTGTTAGAAATATTGTCGACCTTCTCCAGGTGAGAGATTTATTTTACACACAGAGTGACCTGTGAATCATGAAGCTCACTGAATGGTACAGTGATTGGCCTTTTGTTAATTATACCTCAAAGTTCACAAGTGCTGTTTTTTTTGAGACAGGCAGCGGATAAAGAACTGCTGCGAATGGAGACAACAGAAGGGGAGCCGACTGCTGAAAGCAGGGTGGGTACCTTCACTTTGGAAAGCTTGTGGAAAGTATTCCATTTTGGTAATTGTCACGGCACATTAAATGCTGTCTGTTTTTCCCTTTTACAGGACAACTTCATTAGGTATTTATTGGAAGGCACTAAAGCTCTGACACCACAATTTGCTATCCAAAACAGCGACATTATCAGTCACATCATCAGCTGTAGCACTGCCATTAACATTCTCTCAGTGAGAAAATGTGACATCCAGACTAACCCAAACCCTACTGTAAGTTCAAAGGAATGTGTGACTGACAGCTTTAAGCAATCATACACATTATGGCTATCATAGTCAGGTGATGGTGCATTCTTTTTTCCCTCTCTAGGATTTGTTTGAGGACATCTTTGAGATCTTTAGGACAATCTCCTTGCTATTGGGTCGCGCTAATGGTACACAGCAGTTTATCATCAGGTACCCATCAGGCACCATCTATCAAAACAGGTCAGTATTAGACTTTCACTCACCCGATATTTCTTCTGTTGCAACTTTTCTTTAATTTTAACCATATAAATGTGGCAAAAAATTTTAAACAGTTATGCAATGTGTTCTAACCCCCCCCCCCCTCCCCCAGTTCTAAACCTGCTGAAATCAGCAATGTAGTGCTCGGGTCAGAGAAAGATGGGACGTTCATCAGACTCCCCTCATATTCAGCAATTCAGTCTCAGCTTGGAGGGTATAGTGCAATCATCTCTCAGGTCAGTATGTCCCATCATCATGTGTGTGTTTTTGCATCTTTGTTGCAGCCTTTTTAACAGAGCTTTTCTAATTCTTAGATGTCTACATTCTTGGTGAATCCCCATCCGTCAGACAACGTTTCAGGAATTGTTTGCAGCCTTATACTTAGTGATGGAGTCTCAGATATAAAGCTGGCAAACCTGACAGAGATGATAGAGGTACAGCCAACCTGAGAATTGGGTATTGTATTTGTATCACTGTGCGCACCCTTCCCAGATCGACAGTGGAGTTAGCAGTGAGAAGGACCACAAAAAAGGAGAGCTAACCCATCCAAAATGGGGAGAAAAGGTGGTGACTACAACTGAGAAGAAAACGAAGAGGCTTTTTATTGTTGTGTCTTGCAAATAAATATGCCAACAAGTCCAACAATTACCTACACACCATGTGCATGTGTCTGAGAATTAATCTGTTGCTTGTTAATTAGATGATGGTGCATGTTACTGTAGGAATATACATCTGATTTGTATGTTATTATTATTATGATGATATATAGAAGTCATCTGATTTGTTAATGTGACGATGTTTATATAAAACTTTAATAAAATACAAATACAATTTTTATATTGTAAAACTTACATAATCAAAAAGTTTAACCTTCATATCTACCACAAGATTATGTTATATTACTGATAAAGTAAATGCAATTTTAAGATATAAAATATATCAAGGGCAAGACTCATTAAATAGTCCGTCTCCTCATCTTTCCCACATTTTTGAGCAAAAAATTTAATCTACCAACTTTATTGGCAAGGGGAAAAATACCACACATTAATTGGGCAATTATGTCCATAAGTTTGATTTTAATAGTAGTAATACATTGCTTTCTCTTGTTTCTCCAGATCTATTTGCCTCAGCCAAATGCATCCACACCGCTGAACACTACTGTTGTGTTGGAGAAAGACACAAAAGCGATAACCATCTTCGAAGTCTCAGACCCTAATGTGACCATCTTCTTCAGCGTGATGCCCAGTGCCAATGTGTCTTTAGTTCTAGTGCTGTCTAAAGGGTCACCTAATGGTTCATATTCAGGCCGCAGAACCACCAATACCACCTTGACACAAATAGGTAACTGCCGCTGCAAGCAGGCATTGACATATTACTTCATACCCTTACCTCTGATTTCTGTTGTTTTTAGTCATCTAATGTAACAGTGTGTAGCAATAGGATCACTGTTGCCCAGGTAAGCATAATAACAACACAAAATAGAACCAAACGAATTTAGCATTATTTGTTTTACTTGTGTTATAATACATCTAAAAATATAAAATCAGATGGAAAAAGGGTTTCATTTGTTTTATTTTAATTGATTTTGGATTATGAACTCATGTTAGTTGATTTTTGCAACAGGAGACTATCGCTATATGATAACCCCAGAGATGTTACAGCAGACCCCTGGTGTCTGGTATGTTAACATCACACTCAATTCCACCTGGAAGCCGGGCCTGACACTGATCATCACTTCTTTTATGAGCAAGTGCTTGTACTGGAACACAGACAGGGATACATGGAGCACTGATGGCTGCAAGGTGAGTTTCCAACTGGATTAATTTGGCTGTATTGTTTTGACTCTGCATGTACAGTTCTAGTAGCAGTGGTGGATGAAATCCACAAATCCTGTACTTGAGT